GTACCGCGTCTTTACCGCGTGTGTACCACGTGTACCGCCCGCGATTACCCGCGGACTAAATTTTTGGGCAGCCCAAAACTTTTTCGCGCGGCCAACCGCGTGTGAATTTCTTTCCGCGTGTAACGACGGGTAAAGTACGGCTGTATCGCGACCTCAAAGCGTCCAACAGCGTCTGCTTCACGGGCAGAAATTTTTGGCCGTTATTCGGCCGCGATACCCCGTGGAGGGCTGTGTGACCGGGCCTTTATATTTAGACATGACGTCATTTGCTTTATAAACAAAGCGTTAAGACCGCTAAATGTTAGCGTTATACTATTGTCAATGTAATAATCGAGATAAGGGGTGTCAGTGTGGTATTTTTCGGTTGACTGTTATTTAATTATGATGTTTATTCAACAAATATTAATGATAAATATAGGTTGTTACAATGTATAATTTGTTTAGGCAATTTTAACTGTTATTTTCTTGAACCTATAGTAATTATAAATCAAGAGTACTGTAAAGTCTAAAAGTATTCGTTGTATCAGTCAAATCCTAAAACTTATGTTTTTATACATGAATTATTACCTTTCCTCTTAAAAGAAATTTGACAGGGGTCACAGAGCTGTTATTGATGATGGTGGAAGTGGTTGTGATTTTGGTGGTTATATTGATGGTGTTGTTGATGGTGGTAGTGGTTTTATTGGTGATAATGGTGGTGGCGTAAATGCTAACATTGGTGGTTGTTTTGATGGGGGTGATGATGATGATATTCTAATTCAAATGAAAGGAATATGATAAAAAATGTTATACATTTTACTTTACAAAACAGAATATATTTGACTTTCCATTCTGTGTACTCGTCCAAATATATCCCCGTATTGTACAGTAAAATGTATAACATATAAGTCTTTATACTCGAACGCAAAACAAGGATACATTTTTTTAACATTTAGAATGGATGGAGTAAGTTTTTTTTCTAAACAATTCATAAACATATGTTGATAACTCTCTTTGACGTTAAATATGGAGCAATGAATGTAAGTAACATGCCAGGTGTACATAAGAGAGTAACCAAAGTAACTTCTAACCAAAAAGCTAGGGAAATACAGACCAATGTATGTATCCTGTTATCAGAACGCTCTATTTTAATACCAACTTTATATTTGTTTTTTTTTGCTGTAGACTTGAAGATACTCAGGTGCTCCGTAACGTTTTATTATCGTAAATAAGCATAGTATGGGAAAAAATAGTTTTGTGGCATAAATTGGGTCCAATTAAACGTTTTGCCTAGGTGTATAACATGATTGTTGGAGTAATTGGAAATTTCAAGTTCATTAAATGTACTATGTATCTAAATAAAATTATACAATGCGTCTTCTAATTACAGTGTTTATTGTTTACATCTGTAAACGAAAATATAATCGAAAGTATGAGAGACGGAGTTGTCCGTAAAGAACATTTTTTTTCTATACCAGACTGTACTTGTTTCTAGAACCAGGATTTTTCACAATAGTCCTTTATAACAAAAATTGTAGTACAACAATCTGTATCTTTGTGGTATACATGATTTGAACATTATATCTGTACAATTTATCTTGTTATTTATCTAAAATATCAGTATATAGGGTAATGTCAAAATTAATGTCAGATTTATCGGTGAAGGAGTTTTGTACCAATGGACAAAGCATCTACATTTAAAGTGTCACGTTTATAAGTAATGTAAATAAAGACATAAGAAAACATTAATAAGTTCGTTTACGTCATCGTTTGTTGGAATAAAAATAATTAAAATTACAAAAAGCAACTTGTGCATGTTTTCTCTTTTATTCTTATCAAAAGCAGCTTCAAAATAGGTTTTCAAAATAAAAGAAATATATATATATATACATTTATATATATAAAAAAGGCTTTATCAATAATAATGTGTGCATACAAATGATGTTTATTTTTATATACACTGTCGATTGCGTTCACCACCTTTATTTTTTTGCTTTGCTTTAAGAAGGATAGTTGATTCTTTTCATTTTGGGCTAAGTGCATTATCATGAGTATAATATCATTCATTTTCAATTATTTTTCAAAACATTATTTGTATTTTGTGTGTCAACAAATCATATGTACAGTACCACATACATTTGAAATACCAAAGCACATACTTATAATTTTGTTTATTTACTAAGATAGTTTTTATCCTTGATATGATTCCATAAGTAAGTATGCTACAAGGTGGTAGAAGATATATTGAAATATCGACATACATCTCAATATATCGTGAATTAAACCATATTTAATAAAATAAAGGTTATATGTACCTTTGGTTCAAGTGAAACTAAAAGTCGTTATTGGTAAAATAATTATTTTCTTTCAATAAAAACAACCCCCTTTCTAATACAAGAAGAATAACAACAGTCATATCATAAGTTAAAGATTTATCAGATATCAATTATCAAGTCAAGGTTGGCGTCCAAAATTAAGAACAGACAAAGTCCGGTCATATCGTGTCCCGGTTGTATGATGTATCACATGATATACACATGACTTGTCACGTGATAGAAGGTAAAGATAACAATAAGTATAAATATATATCCCCCGTCAAATCAAAATCAAATGATGTTTGTTTGTGAATAGGAAGAGAAAAAAAACGCAATGGAGTAATTTTACAAAATCATAAAGGTAAGTTGTTATTTCAGAGTATATGATGGTAGATACTTACATTAAAATTATTTCGCTTATAGATCAGTTAATTTTAAGTTAATTGATGAACATTGTTCGTTCAACATTGTTATAAACATTTTGTTATAATGCATTGTCTGGATTTAGGACCATTAAGGACGTTAAAACAACTTGAGTTAAATGTCACAAAATTACAATTCCGTTCACACACACTTGAGATGTGAATATAATACAAACTAAAATTAAATTGTATGCATGCTTATTGTGGAATTTAAGTGATTGACCCTTTGAAAAATTGACAGGTTTAAAGCAGATTAAGATACAAATTTATTTTAAAATAATACAATTATGTAAAAGTTGTAATAATTATCCAGCGTAATTTTTACTAGTGAGGCGAATTTTATATGGGGCTGTTGTTGTAATACAATGATTCAACAGGTACGTTCCAACACATGTTGCCGCCATGTCATGCTTACTCTTGTGAGGGAGCGTATACGTTCATATATAAAGTTTGGGACAGAGACCAGATTGATTTCAACAATCATTGCAAAGTACCATTTGCTAATAACTACTCTCAGAAAAGCACTTGTTACAAAGCCGTTGTTCAGCGCAAAAGTATTTTAATGTATAAGCGTCTACCTCAAAGACTTTAAAAAATGTTTCGCAGAGAAAATGTATGTTTCCAGCATTCCACCCTTACAAATTACAATCACAAACCCTCATATTTTACACCAGGTTAAGTTATTACCTATACATTTTCTCAGTTCGACCGTTTACTAACCGATCTATATAGCCGAAATAAACATGTTCTTTTGACTCTGTGTCTTTGTCTATTTCATTGCAAATAAACGACGAAATCACATTCGCTTTTATAGAACTGTAACTTACATTATGTGCTTATTTTACTTTAATCGATATCTATCTCTGGGGAAAGCAAAATTCTCTTGTAATGTTAAAAAACTTATATAGCCTAGAAATGTGCAAGCTTGATTGCGCCTGATACCTTGACGTGCATTTTCTTATGACAAAGGACATTAAATTATGTCAAAGAAGTTTTGATTAAAAACAGGGTGAGTCTTAATGTTACTGTTATATTAACTAGCGCTGTCACTAAAGGTAATGTATACCCCCACCCGCCAACTTTACTATTTAAAAATAAACGATATGAAGCCAAATTTGAACTCAACCCATATTTTATTATGTTTAATTTGTGTACCATTATTCATTCAACGTTTACTCATCTGTTAAGCATCATCTTTTTCATAATTGTAGAAAAAGGTGTAAATCGGTTTCTGACCGTTCAAACCCCGATACGTTTATCTCGAAATTTAGTTATTCCGATATCTTTAAAGGTCCCAATGACTTCGAGAGCAAGAGAGCCGATTGTATAATACTGAAACATTAGTAAATCAAACCTGAGAAAAATGTACTAAGATTTTAGGAAAAGTATAAAGATTCAAAATTCTAGTAAAATTTACATGTTATGTGCGATTATTGACCGATTTTCCAGTATTTTAACTATACTTTAACTGCGTTACTTCACATGAATAGTTCAGTATAAAAACAATAAAAACATCAAATAACTACGGTGGCACAAAGGTGATATGTGTGCGTTTTTATTTCTACGTCGTTTATTACTATGTCTTGGCCACGAGATAGCTAAGTCGCGGCCATGAGATACTGTGTCGTGGCCACGAGTTACCAAGTCGTGGCCACGAGATAGCTAAGTCGTGGCCACGAGATACTATGTCGTGGCCACGAGTTACTATGTCGTGGCCACGATATACCTAAGTCGTGGCCACAAGATACTATGTCTTTGGAACAAGATTACTTAGTCGTGGCCACGAGAATATTATCCAATCAGAATACACTATATTTATTATGATTTTTTTTTAACTTAACAACTTACTTTTAGATGCAACATTAATCTTTGAAAATACTGAAGATATTCACTTTGAACTTGTATTTAGGATCATATTAGAAAGTCACCTCCCAAGGCCAATCAGACATTAATTTTGATTATAGCCCTTTGTTGGGACAATTTTGGTCAGTTTGTACGTACTACGGCATGTTAACCTTGTTTATACGATAACATGAGAAGGAATAAGTCCTGGTTTATTTTATTTTGAAGGGACATTGCCCATGGACAGTAGATAGCCTTTAAGGTAAAATCCTTGTCTGATGAATAATTTAGAAGGGATAAACCATGGTTTATATATGATCCCAGAAATATCATTGCACCTGATCAGTAGAGGGCATCTAATTATTTTGAGATCATAGGGTCAAAAATCAGGATTACAGTGACGCTAAATGTAAAATTATTGACCAGTCAATAAGTTGTATAAATGGCGCTTTTACAGACTGGTGAAGAAGGGGCATCTTTGTACTATAGCACATGTCTAGTTAATTAGGGTAATTCATATAAATGGTGTAATCTGATTGGTTATTTACCTCGTGGCCACGACATAGTATCTCGTAGCCACGACTAAGCTATTTCGTGACCACGACATAGTATCTCGTGGCCACGACTAAGTTACTCGTGGCTACGACATAGAATCTCGTGGCCACGACTTAGTTATCTCGTGGCCACGTGATACACACACACATGTCACCTTTGTGCCACCGTAAATTACTGATAAAATAACTTTGGACTTAGATCCTGTTCATTACATTTACATAACAACACATTCATAGCCTTTTAAAGCCTTACTTTTCAGATGTTCTTGATTCAATAAAAATCTACCAGTGTAGTTAAAAACTGTCCCCAAGGAGTTAAAGTCATTTACAACTTAGATTTTTAGCCATTATAATTCCGATTCTGTTTTGGTAAGAGCCCACCCCTTTAAGGAAGACTATTATTTTTGTTTAGCCATGTTTTTTTAAATCTATATGTAAACTTGTTTTTCTTTTATTAAAAGTTTGGATTTAGGTGCATACTATTGGCAATGCACGGAAAAAGTGAAAAATGCTAGGCATACACGTTCGCATTTTCAAAAGTAATTTTTAAAAAGCACACTTTATACATGTCTGGATTTTTGGCAACAAACGCCCTCCATACATGCTATTCATTAACGCTGACGTCATTTCAATCATACAATAATGATAAATTGGGCACTGATGTAAACACAATACATATACAATCCATTCTAAGACGTATTTTGTGTTGTTGAAAGTTGGATAAAATAACTTTTCTTTCTTATTCTCTCTTTTGTTTTGTTTTGTTTAATAAATTCTATATCTTAGCAACAGTAAGACCTTGGTGCAAAATCGAACAGCGTTATATAAAAATATGGTTCGCTTGAAAAGTAAAATTATTGATCTTCCTTATTTTATCTTATTAGGCCTACGGCCTTCGTGGTCAATTCTTACACACCAAATCTCCAAACCGGTATTAAATAGCCGATAAACACTGCTAAGACCGATTTTATTTCTTTAACATCAATTCTAACGTTTCGAATAAATCAACATTCAGAACGTTGTATACAGGCGAATCTTCACACCAAATATAGACTCCACATAAATAAATACCTTCTTCATTGTCAACAAATGTGCGGTCTAATTTTAACCAAATAATAGTATCGTGATAATTTTTAACAATTTGAATACCAGGAGATAAATTTTCTTTGTAACACAAAACTATTTCATCGCTACTTCTTCGATCATTCCTGTTTTGAAATTTTCTGTATAAATGATGCGAACATTAAGAGTAATATTGCTTAAGGAATTGGTCCATTTTTTATACAGAGAAGAAATGTCACTATTTGTAATAATATCTAAAAAGTTTTAACAATACTGTTATTGCTTTGAGCCCGTGCACATTCCATGCAATAATAGAAAGTTCCTCTCCTTCATACCCCTGATTGGACGTCCATCAATGTAAAAAGTAGGCAATCCAAACTTTTTTACCCTGGTCTCTGACCTCCTTCATCTTCAAAATTACTTTCCGGCGTTTGGAAATGATTTCTTGTTGAAATTGTTCATGAATACTTTATCTCGTACAGTTTAGATTTTTCCATCGCCGACGAACGAACTCACGATCCTTGAAGAAGGTTGATTTGGCAACAATAGTTCGCACTTTACCTTGAATTGTGGAAATGTGTGAACTCTTTCAAATATTTTTATGTCAGACTGATATATTTATTGAAGAAATTTATTTTTGATAATTGATGTGATTAAATAATCATATGCAGCTCACTTTGAATTGAATGTCTCACTTCAGCCTGCACTGAGACATTACTCTCAAACATAATCACAATAAAAACAATTGTCCATTTTTTTCATGAAAAGGTAAAATATTTTTGTTAAAGCAAAAACATTGTTAAAGAGTTTTGAGTGCAATTAAAAGATTAAGTACTAACATCAATCTTTAACAAGTCGGTACTTGTATGTACAAGTGTTTTAATCACAGTCTCTGAAGGATATTAGAAATGAATGAAAATTGGACATCAGCAAAATTAATGTATTAGAACTTTAATAAGCTATTATTCCATGAGGGCTGACGCCCGCAAGGATTTGGTACGCTATTTATTTGTTATTGCATATAGCATATCTAACATACCTACTACTTAATATTACCTTGATCATAGACTTGTTCTCAGATTCTTTCAAGGTTAGATAACACGGCACTCATTAAACAAAATCATTATAATAGTTACCCCAGTTATAATAAGAGCTTAAATGCTAATGGTGAACACAATGCTTACTAAAAATTTTAAGTTATACCGTGCTCAAATTTTAAACTACAAAAATATTGATAATTGCTACACATTTCATTTACAAACATAAAATAAACATGTTTGACTTGATACAAAGTAGATATCCTAAACATTATGGATGGTCACACTATGAATATAAAGTGTCATTGAAATTTAATTTGTCCCGTAATAAGAAGCACAGATTCCCATACATTTTTTCATTCTTTTTTTTTTAAATAAGACACTATTCAGCAGGAATCTAATAGATTTTCAATAATGTTTTAGGATAAAATATTTTAGGATAATTGTTCTGTATCATTACTCTCATCACGGTTGGCAAGGCTCATTACTGTAACATCTTTATCGCAAGAGTTATTCCTCTTTGCATTCATAATTATAATTAAAAAATACCAAAAAAAAAAACCCAACTATTTTTGTTATCTCAAGCATTGAAACAATATATAAATAGCAAAGGTAAGTCTGGCGAAGTGAGCACATTATTTACTAATAAGATACTTTTTGTAAAGCTTCGTTTTGGTTATAGCCGTATAATAAATAGCATCTTTATTTATTTATAAATTAAAACAATTATACTTGAAATATAATATTATATTCAATCATTTATATAATTTTATCATGTTTAGCTTGGAGTTTACAAGACACGCCGATGTATATAATCCTTGAAGTGGAAATATCAATGGCTTCATATAGCCTAAAGGTTAGATGATACTGTAGATCTACTATTAAACGAAATCATAAAAATAATAACCGATTTATGATAAGCGCTTTATATGTAAAAATAATAATAAATAAGGTTGTTTTTTAACACAAGTCTTCTGCTACAAAATACATGTACATGAAATTTAAACTGATGACAAGTATATCAAGCTGTGTACATTTCGGTATATCTTCTGTTATCATGAATTTAAAATTAAATTTGAAATTTCTGCCAACATGTACATTGAAAGTATTTATAATTCCAGGCATGTAATTACTGTACTTTTTTCTTATCAAGGTAAAAATAAAGAAAAAGAATCAAATAATGTTATTTTAAGGTTGATGAAAAACATTGCATTTATTTAAAACATGATGTTTTTCAAGCGTTCTGAGCCTTTTGTTTTGACATAACTAAAGTAGATTGCATAAATCACAAATATATATGATAGTAAAACAATCTCTCTTTAAATGTTATAATATATTTTAGAATTTTATATGTTGTTTTCTCAGGTTTAGTTCGGAGCTTACAAGACACGCCAATGTATCTAATGCTTTTAGTGGGAAAGACAAACGTTTACAAGCAATGGCTTCATATAACCCTAAATTGTTAGAAAAGAAATACAATAACTGGGTTAAAGCTCAGCTAGCTGTGTTGTTAACTAAAGAAGGAGTTGAACATTTTGTTTGTAATGAAATCAAACAATTTCAATTGAAATGTTTACATGACATATGCTACTTAAATGGCTTACCTAGTGGGACTTCTTGTTCAATTTGCTGCACTGAAAATCTTGTAAAGTGTCCTACAAATAGAATATGTAATGTTGGGCGTGGGAAATGTACGTATCATCGAAATGTCACAACACGGTGCAATTCTTCTGGCTGTCCTAGCAAGATATGTCATAACTTAAAAACTGAAATACAGAATGCACATAGGTACTACGGTCCATCGTACAAAAACAGTGATGCAACCCAGTGGTGCAGTAATTTCTGGGAAATTGCGAAATGCTTCATGCCCCCAGATGGGTATAAAGAAAAGGCATCTGCAACAGAAACAGACTTTAATGGTATAATCAGCGTTATCCTTAATCACAAAGACTTCCAGGGAAAAGTACTTGAAAACCTCAATACTAAGACAAATAAATTTGCAGAGGTAACAAATATTTCGATACTTATAAATAATATGAAGACTTATGTTTAGCACTTGGTAATAAAATATGAATATATATATTTATGATCTAAGGAATTTAATTCTACGGTATGATATCTATTATAAATTGTAATTTCATCTTGCTTTCTGGAAAAATATAGAATATTAAGGAATGATTTTTTACTATTAATTAACAGTATGATAGTTTACAGTATATTTCATAACCTATATAGTATAAGCTGCAAATATTATAGTTTAAAATGTTTCTAAAATGACTGTATGACAGAAAAGATTATATTTCCTTAAAAACGAATGAAAGCATGAAATCATTGCTGCACAGTTTAAGCTACATGCATTTTAGATAAGCCAAAAAATAAAGAAAAATCAAACTTGAGAAAACTGTACCATGAATTTAAGAAGAAACAAACAACAAAAAAACATGCAAGTTATTTTTTACATGTTTTTTTTATTTTACGTAAATTTGCAGTATTTATTACCATATTTGTTCTGCTTGACAAATGCAGCTATGTATTGCATATGTTCTATAGAAATATTTTATTATTTTGATATAGCTTTTTACCCTTTAAATGGTTTAGATGAAAAGATAAATAATAGCTATTATTCTATCTTGACCAGGCAAGAGAAATTGGAAGAAATGTGCGACATTCATCAACACTTGAAGTAGAAGACTCAGATCTTCAGAATTACTTTCAACTATTACAGCAACTCCTTTCTGACCCCGTGTATTTAGGTACTGACACCCATGCACAGAAAGCTAAACAGAAACTTATTACAGGTGACTAAACTATTTTAACATTTGAATACGTTAAACATTTCGTCGTATGACTAGAACATAGTGAATAATATTTTGGAACATCATGTTGTTTACAAAAAAACACAACTGTTTTCCTTAAGTTATGGTCGATTTTCGTCGATGCGTTGTAAAATAGAATGCCTGTTATTTACTGAACGTTAACATAATGAAATGTTTCGGAACAAAATAGTTTGCTCTTCTTAAATGTTGACCGTATTGCAATGGCTCGTAAGGAAATATACAAACTTTTTTTATAAATGAAATCTTATAACCTAGTAGGATTTTTCTATGAAAATATAAAGTCAGACTATTCAATTAAATACACGGCAATCATTGTTTTTTGCTGAAGATTAATACTAATTTTCAAAACATTTTGTTTGTAAATATACCTGGTTACGCCCTTGTGACTATTTCTCGACACAGGAACAAACACTTATTGTGTTTACTACAATAGGCAAAGGTTTGCTGTATACATTTTAAACTATCATCATTTTGATCAGCATGTAATTTACAAATTAGTAATAACAAACATTGTACACGTACTTGTTACAAATAGATACTATAGAACAATTATATCTTTGAAATGTACACTTTATGATTAAAAGATATTGAATTCTGATGTACTTGTATATTTATTGATATTGTATATTTTATGGTCTTTATAATTACAGTTAGAAAATGACACTCTTGTCATTGGTAAAGATGATATAAGGAAAGTACTAGATGATGTGGCAACAGCAATTCAAGACAAAATGAAGGCTGGATTAGATGAGCAATATGACAAAATTAAACTAGATATGATTAGAAGAAAACAAGAAGATCTTAAATCTCTTGAGTCAAAAACTTTCGAGGGAATGACCCAAATACAAGATGAAACTGATGCTTCCATGAAAAGATTAAATAAAGAAAGGGACAAAGAAGTTGATACAATCCATGAACAAGGAGATAAAGAACGAGCAGGTCTGACTGAAATAGGAAATATGCTACAAAAAGAACTGAAAACAACAAGTAAAGCTGAGAAAGAAGAAAAGTATCTATCTCTTGGGTCTAAAACTGCCGAGGGAATGACAAAAATACAAGATGAAACTGATGCTTCTGTGAAAAGATTGAATGATGAAAGGGTCAAAGAAGTTAATACAATTCATAAACATGGAGATAAAAAGAGAAAAGAGCTGACAGAACTAGGAGAGACGTTACAAAAGAAACTGGAAACAGCAAGTAAAGCCGAGAAAGAAGAACAATATTTTGATTCCAAACAAAGTAAGTGATATAACATTTTATCACATGACATCATTACTTTTCCATGTGATATAACTATTACGAATTTCTTTGTGCTTAACACCTGATAAAATATCACCCTTAAACCTCTAGGTTTGCACCACACGTTGTTCTTAAATCATCAATTCATTATTCCTGAGTACAAAAATCTGTATCAAATGCATACTGTACTCCATTTAGCCTCGCTTTTATTTTTAGCTCACCTGTCACAAAGTGACATGGTGAGCTCTTGTGATCGCTTTTCGTCCGGCGTCCGTCCGTCCGGCGTCCGTCCGTAAATTTTTACTTTAAACGACATCTGCTCATAAACCGCTAAGACAATTTCATTCAAACTCCACTGAAATGTTCCTTTGGTAGTCAACTTTAAAAATTGTTCAAAGAATTTAATTCCAAGCAGAAGTCTGGTTGTCATGGCAACGGAAAGAAAAAACTTAAAATATCTTCTTTCAGAAAACCGGAAGTGCTAGAGCTTTAATATTTGGCATGAAACATCATCTAGTCAGTGTCTAAGAAAGGGTGTCATTGTTTTTCCCTAGATGTATACAGTAAAAATCTTCTTTGAAAAAACCCCAAGGAGCTAGAGCAAGATATTTGGCATGAAACATCTTCTAAGAGTGTCTTCCAAGTTTGTTAACCCATTACTTCATGGGCATTTTGTGAAAAATGGCTGTTTTCATTGAAAAGTCTACCGTTACAAGTTCAAATTGATATAAAATTATATAAACTGCTTCAATACTACTCAAACTTGGCACAAATGTTTACTGGACCATTGCCTTTGCAACAACATGCTCAGGCTTAAAGTTCCTGTTACAATGGCAACGAGGGGACATCTCAAAATTGCCAAAAATCAGTATTTTGCATTAATTTCTTTTCATCAAAATTGATTTCAAAAGGCTGCAACTTCTCAATGGATTGAGATAGAGTCAAATGCTTTTCAGCGTTGGTTACACGTTACCTAATGATTGATCTGGGTTCATTTTAAGCCTCTCACAAGTCCAAAATTTTCTTGGCGATGAGGGGGACTACTGCCCCCTTCAAACCCCCAAACAGAAAGAGGCACATTCCCCTTCTAGCAACCCCATGATGTATCTTTTGATTGGGGGCGCCGAAAAAGTGGAAACTTTTTTAAGCAACGTTTCTCAAACAGAAACAAGTGTGGGGCCTAAATAAGGCATTTTTTCGCCATAAGACACAACACAAAGGGGGGGGGGAAAGGCGTTAAAAGTCGTGTATATTGTGTAATGGGTTAAATAAGGGCCCTAGGGTTAAATTTGCCCCCACCCCGAGGTCATTGATTTTCCTCATATGTGTATTGTAAAAATCTTCTTTTAAAGTACCAAACAGCTAGAGTTTAGATACTAAGCATGTAATATCTTCTAGTGAGTGTCTAACAACTGTGTTCAAGTAAAAGCCTTGGGATCAAAATTGGCCCCTCGGGGGGAGGGGTCATTGTTTTTTTACCTATATGTATATAGTAACAACTTTAAAACTGCTCTTTTAAAAACCCCGAAGAGTTAGAGCTTAGAATATTTATCATGAAACTTCTTCGAATGGGTGTCTACTATGCATGTTCAAATAAAAGCCTCTGGTTTAAAATTTGCCTTGGCCCAGGGGCCTATATACAGGTGAAGGATTTCAGGATCATCATTGCTCTCTTGTTCAAGTCCAAATCGAAGCCAAATCAGTCCATTTTGTACACCTTAAAGCCTCGTTTTCATTTTCCGAGTCCAAAATGTCCATATCAAATCCATACTGTACTCAAATTGACTGAATCTGTAACATACATTTTTTGTTAGACCAAAACACCAGAATTGTTCGTCTTAGGTGTCATCTTAAATTGAATGTGTTTTCTCCTGAAACATTAATGATGGTAAAAATAAAGAGTTCGTTATACATTGTTGATTCTAGCCAATATATTCTATTATTTCATGTTTCATATGTTTCATATTGGGGGAATTTCAGAAGTGCTTAAAAACAAAAACCAAATTTCGAACATTGGACAAAAGAAGGGGAAAAGTAATTAACATTACATATTTTAGCGTTTAGGTACATTTATAATTTATGGTAAATCACGAAAACAAGAATCAACAAAAAGGCCTTCTGCATGTAAGATAAGTTTATTGTAACACTGAGATTTCATTTTATTTTTCTGGTCACCTTTAAAAATTGTTCAAAGAATTTAATTTCATGCAGTGCAGAACACTGGTTGCCATGCCAACCGAAAGAAAAATCTTAAGCAATCGTGTTTAAAAAAAAAAAAGCTTATATATTTAGCATGAAACATCTTTTAGTAAGTTTGTTCAATTAAAAGCTCTGGGGTCAAAATCGGTCCCGCCCCAGGGGTGGGGCATTGTTTTTCTCTGTATGTACGAGTATATAGTAAAAACTAAAAAAATCTTCTATTAAAAGAAAACAAAGAGACAGAGCTAAGAAATTTAGCATGAAACATCTTCCAATAAGTGTCCACTAAGTTTTTTCAAATAATAGCCCTTGAGTTAAAATTGGCCCCGTCCCAGGGGTCATTGATTTTTCTTATATTTGTATAGTATAAACTTAAAAAAAATCTTTTAAAAACCCCAAAGAGCTAGAGTTTAGATACTTTATTATGAAACATCCTCTAGTGACCGTCTACAAAGTGTGTTCAAATAAAAGCCCTAGGATAAAAAGAGAGTTAAAGAACTGTCCTGTACTTTATATTTTATAACTATCCTTTACATTTTATTTCATTCCTTAACATTTTAGAACTATCTTTTACAGTTTATTTTAGCCAAATCTCATTTGGCCAAATGAGATTCCTAGATTTTATTTTGGAATATTAAACTGACCTATGAAAACTCTTCCTACAGGAAGCCAAACAAAAAACAGACCAGCCATCGGCTGGATAATTACTGCAAATGTCACCTCTGTGCCACCGTAGAAAATTGTCCCTTTACCAGAGATAAATAATGCTTTAGTTCTTAAATCAATGTACATAATACATAATTTTGTCCATTTTCCACTTTGAATAGAAATATTTTAATATAATACATCTAAGACTGCATGCTATCAACACAGCACTTTTCCTTGACAGTTTTGTGACCTTTAAGTGCATGAAGTTTATCTTTACTGTCTGTGGCTTATTAAGAACCCCAATAGCTATATAGAAGTTTCTTCTTCTTGGCCATTTTCAACTTGGGTGGTTCCATTATTCCTACTTGAATACTGTATAATAACCCTTAGGATATGTTGCCTGTTTTTTAAATTTGTCTTTGGACGTCTTATCTGTGATATCCAGGCTTCATAACCTCAGATCCCCTTTCAAAATTCTATTCTATTTAGTTCCGCCCATTCTTTTCTCGTTTAGGGCAAAATCATACAATACGTTCTTTCCATGGAATGACACTATTCTGTCACATTGAAGGTTCCATGATAACCGCCGCATGAACACATCTGCGGATGTTTCTAAATTCAAAATTTCACCATTTTAGTGTTTAAATGTTGAATTCTGCTTAAGCCGGTGTTAGGGGGCGTGGACGGTAACTTGCACTTTCCAGTACCGTCCATGAACAGGCTCAATCAAACCGAGCCTGCAACATTTTCAATTATGTTGTGTTGGACTTTCTTTAGGGATTCTGTTTTTCTCTATTCTATTTGTATGATTCTTGTTCTTGGGATTAAAATGAATAATTACAGAATACCTAGAATGTCACAAGCAAATCTTATTAAAACAGGTGTGGATTTTTTTACCTGATCATTTTATTCTGTTTGCACAACAGATTCATGTATTTTAAACTCATTCATATTCTATGCAACAAATCTTTCAAGAAATGATCATCAGTTGATGAAAACAACAATATTTTATGTTTTTGACTTTATATAAATAATGCATAAGATATAGACTAATGCCTTGTCATTTGACAAGAAAATATATAATTAAATCATGTATAAGTGATGAAAATTGTGATGTTTGTGGAGGCTTCACATCCCCAACTCCTAGCCCCTACCACGACTCTGTTGGGGTTCTTAATACGACCCTCTCAATATCTGCGACATAAGATTGTTTTTATTGGTGTGTGTGTACCTTCATGTATGTGCGTGTGCGCGCGCGTGCGTGTGCACACGTGCGTTCGTTTGTGGGTGTGCTTTTGTGTTTTTGCCTAGCTTCTCTCTTTATGAAATAGTATTTTCTTGCACAACTGGAACCGATAAAGTGAGGTAGAAAACACACTCTTTCAGTCTTTCAACGAGAATGCACATTTTTTCAATCAACAGGATGTACCTACGCACCCTATTACCTTTAATATTGGATCCTTCCTTGTCAAAAATTAATCAATTTCTATTTATAGATTGCTGTGTTTGTTTCAGTAGTCCGCGCATATTAATCAGTGATGACACGATTTTTTATTGTTTTTTTTTTTTAATTTTGTTTCTGCTTTAGAGTACAGTTATAAAATAATAGTGGTTAAATGGTAAGAATTTTATTTATTGAAATTTGATTTATTTCTACTGTATATTTGTTGAAAAAAAGAAGTATGTAATTTTCCTGCCGGAAGTGATAGCAGACGACAATACGTTTTTTCAGTTTTAGCTTTATTTTATTTCAAATTATCAATACACTGCAGTTAATTTATTTAGCTTGTATAATTTTTTTTATTTACACATAATTTTAATCATAAAAGTTTCGACTAGATCTTTAATTTTTATATCTTATTTTCATCTGGGTTCTGAAAAGGAAGTCAAAGTCTAGGCTGCAGTATACTTGAGAACAAGAAGGTCACTTGTGACTTTAGTACGAGAAAGGGGACGGGGCAGGTGGGGTGGCTACTTTGTAAGAACCAGGTTATCCCTATGCTAATTTAATAACTTACGGACACAGGAACATAGCAACCGTATTTGTGCTTTATTGTTTATTTATACTAATTTAACCCATACAATAATAAACATCGTCAAAATGACAGATGATGTGTTTCAAGTATGCAAATATTCAATAACCCATTTTAATGGCTAAGCACAATGGCATCTTCTCGGCACTTTCCGTCAAAATTAAAACACAGTAATTAATATATCAAGTTAAACTCTCTCATAAATAAGTAAATTCATAGATATATACTATATTAAAAGGTTAACAGTACATTGTTTAAATACTTATTATTATAGTTGAACAAACCGGAAGAAAAAAATGCCAACCTATTGAAATAGAGCCGAACATGTTTATAATTGTACACCAGCAAGCATTTTCGAATTAGAAATGTTTGTCAAACAAATTTTTAATAAAAATTGTACCGGAATAGGCATTTTTATTACATGCTTTTTGGTGGTTTATAGAAATACATCAGTGAAATATAAGATAAATAAGTTCACTGTTGAATAAATTTGATAATTTCACTGTTTTAGAATTTAAGCTCCTTACGTTGTTACAGTGAAATACTAGCGTGCACAGTACTGGAAACCAACTTAATGACGTGACGTCGTAAATGACGTCACGTTGTTTTATTTTGTGGCGCGCTTTTCATTTAGTATTAGGTTAAATGTCTTTTTAAACGTTTCTTGCATATAATAAAAAGCCAATTTGTTTAGTTTAGTGTAAGATCGAGATATATTTCACCTTGTGAACACCAAAAGCTCGTGGCTGCGCCACTCGTGAAATATACCTTTTAATATATTCCGATCTTACACTTGACTAAACAAATATATATCCTCTATTTCTCTGGAAATCAAGTATTAACATCAGTTTTACATAATCACAAGTTACTCTTACACCTAAAACCACTACAGTAACTTTAATTTTTATAGTCTGATTTTATTGAGAAACATTTTATTTTATTAATAAATATTCTATCCAACTCCGTTTTTGCCAGTGTAATGTACAAGCATTCATATTGAAAATATATCCATAATGTTTTGAAAAGTCACACTAGCTGAATACGAGTCGCCATCACATCAGCAAAAGCACGGTCGCTTAAGTGATTGCCTTATGTAACAGAGGTCTAGGGTTCGATGCTTTCTGCTGTCATATTTTTCTCTTTCTTCATTGTTCCAGTAAATTTCAATAGAAAATGTCAAAGTGTTTGCAAAATTGAAGACACGGATGTGATCCGACTGAATTAATTATCAAACGATGTTATTTAAAATAATATTATAGACGATACCAAAATAAGTGCATAACATATAAAACAAAAGCAAAATAAAAACAAGTGTAGACTAGTTTATAAATATAAATAAGAGAAGAAGAAAAAGACTTATGCGGCCTCGTTATTACAACATGTAGGACATGCATATTAAACAAACCAGAAGTTTTCCCCATTGCGCTATACCGCTCAGTATAACTATTTTACAGAAACAAATAAATTTATTAATAAATACATGTTAAAGGGTATCTTACGATCTTTGGCGAAAAACTCCCAAAGATTTATATATTGTGTGCATTGACAGTGTAACCAGTATGCAATTGACATGCAATAATTCATATTGAGTCCAAGTTTATTATGAACATTAGCCGAGGGATTCCGATTGTGACTTAACTATAATGATTGAGAAATCAGGAGGAATCATTATATATTAAACAAGTTAGTATGTCAAGTGAATATTAAGTATTAACATTCCGACAAAATAGTATACCTTGCTGAGACATTCACTTCGAAATCCCCCTAGCTATATCCCCTTTTTTCCCGCCTACCCCGGATTTTGCGAAAATTTGTCCGATGTACAGTTGACACGTGCATTATACGGATACCTTGTGCCGTTTTGAAATTTTACATCTACATTATCACATACATTTCTTATGTTTTAATTATATGAATGAAGACGGACAATGTTTATTACAAGTATACGATGTGTTAAATATTACGATTAAAATACTTAGTTTTGTATATGAATTCATGCAAGTTTAGCTATATGCATTGTTTAAGTTTAACAAACCACATGAATATAGTGTAACATATCTACTTATCTCATGTCGTATATATTATCTTATCCTAACCATGCAAAATTGAAGTTAAGTATTCTCAGTATGCTATAATTATATTATATAGAAAGATATGTCTCTGATTAACGTTTTCTTTTTCTACTCTATTTTCAGAACTTCAAGGCGACCTGATTAAATTCTACAGAAAAAGGTGTAGTTCAATACCTCTGTCACCGCTTCTTGAAGAAATAGAGACACCTCTAGCTGGGTTCTATGTGATGCCAGAAATAGTCGCCGTAAAACAGAAGTCCCTAACTTGTCATGAAGAGGAGAAAACACCGATCAAATCTATGAAAGACCTGTTTTCAACCGGAAGTGGAGATCAGCAAGAAATTTATCTATCAGCCGATGCAGGCTTTGGAAAAACTGCTTTCTCAAAATATCTTGCAATCATGTGGTGTCAGGCTCATTGTCATGATGAAAACTACGCCTGTTTTAAAAAGGAAGAGTTAAAAACGTTATTTGACTTTGATTTTTTATTTTTGGTTTCATTAAGAGACTGTACCTCTGTTTGTAACATTGACGATATGATTGAACAGCTAATTACTAAGAAACTTCCTTCATCAACATCACTAGATGAAGTTTTACGTAGAGAAAAATGCTTGATTATATTGGACGGTCTTGATGAATGGACTCACCCTGCAAATAGTTGTGGCGAAGTATCAGAAAAAATCCCACATCGGTACGTACGTGATAATTGTGTTATCCTAACGACAACCCGACCGTGGAAGCTTGGAGTTTCAAATCTCAAAACAAGTCAAATAAACAAAAAAGTAGAATTGGTTCAATTAAGTGCAGATTCTACGCGGCAACTAGAAGAAAATGCTATAAGGAAGATGACCGGTGTCAAAAACGATAGAGTATTGAAGAATAAAAGACGGGACTTTAATAAAGTGATACGTGACCGTCGCCTAAAGCACATGCAAGTGATTCCACTCCTCCTCATGTATATAGTTTGCCTATGGTGTAACAACATTCCTATAGGAAATTCAAAACATGAAATTTACACCAATATCATTGAATTTCTTTTATCGAGAACGTCAAAGAAACACCCGGAAGTTCAACCATCTCGTGAATCGTCTGCCAGTGAAATTCCAGAATACTTCAAAAGTCATGAATTCTGTAAACATTTTTACAGTCTTATAACATCATTAGCAGAACTAGCTTACCAAACATTATTTCACGAAAATAGAGAAAACACGCTTGTATTTGATAGAACGGTTGCTGAAAAATATCTCAAAGCAGACGACATGAAATTAAGTCTTCTCTCAGGAATACTGTCAGAAAGTAGAAGTAAAACTTTAATCAAAGAAATTATCAAAGTATCGTTTTCTCACAAAACAGTGCAAGAATACTTTGCCGCCATATTTATAAGTTCTCAAAGTGACGCTCAGAAAACTGTTGTAGAAAAATGTAGAAATGTTCAAGACATTCTGGACATGTCAAAAATTTGTGAATTTATAAGTAAAATGAATGCTGACCTGATGTGTGCAATATCAAATGATTTGATGTCTGTGATAAATGAAGACGAGAAAACACGCGACTATAGAACTAGGACAGTTACGAGTACTTGTTCAATAATCCATTGTATAACATACAGGAAATGTTCATGTCGTGTTTACAAGAAATGCCTGAAAGTGAAAATATTCAATTATGTTTACAAGATTTCTTCATTTACGGGGACACCAATGTGCACAGTAAGCAGTTACAACGTTTATTAAAACAAAATAAAACCAACATAAAATCACTTTATATAGACATTAGCAATACTTCCAGCAGTTTACGTGAAATTATAGATTTATTCTCTCTCACAGATCTCAGTCATATACAGAAACTTTACTATTTTGGTGACTTGGAGAAGGAGGCTGAGATAAGTCGGATTTTGTTTCCTAATTTACAGGCCGTTAGTTTGTGCTGGAGTACATGGACAAATGATGAAGAAAATCTGAGTGAAAACATGGCGCGATGTCAAAACTTACAATATTTATATATTAACAGCTTCACGTTATCCCACAAAATACTGGAAACAATTTTCAATTTTATCTCCGGTCAAAAATCAATGAAAGAGTTAACACTGGAGTGGTTATACTGTAAAGAACATGGCATGTATGATTGTAAGAGATGGAACTTGGATTTGTCTCAACATTCAACTCTATCAAAGTTACACTTGAAGCGGTTACCTGGGAGGCTACAATTAAATATATCAACACCGTCATTAGTTAATGTTAAGTTGCAGGACATCACTCTTAGACAGGGGTTTTTTTTACTAACAAATTGACACCGATAGTCGGCGTCTTCCCCTCGGTAAATAGCCAAGTTTTTTCCCCCAAAAAATTCTATTTTCCTTGAAACTGGATCAGATTTAATAATTACATGGTTTAAAATATTATTTTTCTTCATTTTATGCAGGATAAACCACCAATTGTTGTCCAAAATAACCAAAAACATTGCAGGAAACTGCAAGTACTGTCTCAACAGGTCTCAACATGGAGGCAGCCATTTTTTTCTTGGCTATATCCCGTACTGAACGGTACTATTTCTGGAAATCAGTTGCTATCAAAATATTGTCATTTTCTTGGTTATTTTTAGTAAAGTAATATATTTTGTACTTCTTATTATGAAAATGACTTATATGGAGCCAAAGTGTGTCACAGATACACTATTATACCTATACTGTATTAACTTTCATATAAAAATAGAAGTATAAAAACCATTCACCACCATACATATTAAGAAAATATGTTATACTGCAAAGAATATTTTGCATGATGATAAAGTTTTTAAGGGGAAAAAGATATAGTTGTAACTCTCTACTATGTAGTTAAGTATATAGTATAAATAACGTCATAATAAAGTTTCCCCAAATTGACTTTTTTCGTATATTTTTTCCCCTCCCTACCAGCATCCAGCGTCTTCCCCTTTTCCTAAAAAAAAACCCTGGACTCTAGATGAAAGTTCATTGTTAGTGTCACGTGACACGTAAATAAGGACATACATGTACTTTCGTTTTCAATTAATATGATAAATTAAATGACAATTGTATTAATAAAAACATTTAATTAATAGAAATAATTCAAGGAAGTTTTTACGGAATTAAATGGATATAAAAGTTGGATTAGGATATGGAAATGTTTCACAGGTAAGTGATTTTGTATTGAATGTTTTATTTTTAATTTTTTTTATACATTCATATGTAAGAACTAAAATAGATTGTTAACAGTGAACAATACTCTTATATATTACCTTTTACTGAATAATATAATGATATAAATAAATCAACCTATTAAATATTTTACATGATTTTTTATTCTGGAATTAGATTATTTTCATAATTAAAATGAAACCTGTTATAAACATAGACTATTAACAGATACACAATACATGACACTTGTTTATTAAAGGGTACCGGACCAGCGCATACATGTATATAGTTATAGATCTATGGTGTAGTAAAACATAATGTAGATTCAAGTGAATGTATTTTTAACTTTTTTTTGATAACTTAAAAGGATTGCTTCTATTATATTGATGTTGTCCATTTTTGTTAATTTAAAAATGAAAGTTTTTGTAAATTCATACTTCAGAAAAGTTTTTTTTATCTTAGATTTAAGTAAGCTGTTTTTGTTATGTCATATATTTCAGGGCTCTCGTTAGCATTTTGAGACTGGGGACAGGGTCCATGCAGGGGGGTGATTTTGTATGATTTTCAAGTATTTTTCATTCAAGGGGGGATTTTTTTTGGTAAGACTTGAAATTGTGCGACATGTTGGAATGCTACAAACTGTCCGGAACGTTTTATTTATATATCCGTACTAATTTCCAATTGCCTTTCGTGGAATACGTACTAATTCACGTTCGCGGAATATATATTCGCCGATCGGCGTTTTCTATGCCCGTTAAATATTTATTTCAAGGGATTTAAAGGGGTATTTATTAGGTTTTAGGAGGAAAACACACTTTTTTGGTGGGGGAATTGGGCCGAATATCGATTTTTACCAAACGAGAGCCCTATATTTAAGGTACGTATTTGTAATTTTATGAAAAAGTCTATTTAACATTAACATGTGAGCCAAACGTGTTCAATTACAGCCTTGGGGTCTTTATTTCACCACCCACGGATATCAATGAGTTTCCTTTTATAGTTACAGAAATTACTGTAAATATCTTCTTTTTTAAAAAACACTTGGGATAATGCTTACACATTTGGTATGAACCATTGTCAAGTGTACACCTACCAAGTTTATACAAGCATAGCCCGGGGGTAAAAAAAAGGCTGGATGGATGGTGGATTGGGTAATGGGTCATAGGTTTTCCTTATAACTTGCAATAGAAACCAGTAACTTCCATACCGACAACTGACTTTCCATAACAACCAGTGACTTCAATAGCAACCATTGAATTTCCTTAGCAACAATCGACTTCTATAGCAATTATTGATTTCCCAAAGAACCAGTGACTTCCTTTGCATCAATTGACTTTCCTTAGCAATCATTGACTTTCAAAAGCCACAATTTTATTTCAGAGCTATTATTGGCTTCCAAAATAACAATTGAATGATTAAGCAACCAGTACGTCCTAATGCTACCCTTTACTTTCCAAAGTAACCCTTAATTTTCCAAAGTAACCTTCGACTCTCCATAAAAACCAATGAAGTCCATAAAGACCACTAACTTCCATAGCAACCATTGATTTTTCTAAGCAACCCGTAATTTCCATAGCAATCATTGGCTTCCTGCAGCAATTGACTTCAACCCAATCATTGAAGTTCATTAGCAACCTGCAATTTCCATACTTTTAAGTTATCCATTGTAAGGAAACCAGTGACGTTCATAATAATCATTGACTTTTCATAGCAACAATAGTATCTAAGGTATTTTTGACTTTCCATAGCAACCATTGTTTTTTCAAAAGCAACCTTTGACTTCCCATGGCAACCATTTCTTTTTACCTAGTAACCAGTGACTTCCATAGCAACTGTAGATTATTTTAGCAACTTCTATAGTCTTTTTTGACATCCCCTAGCAATAGCAACCAGTAACTCGTTTTACATGTGCACTGTTTCAGATGCAAACATGAAGTTTGTGATCTTATCAGCTTAATATTTTTTGTTGTTGTGTTTTTCAATATAATTTTTGTTATTTAGAGCCTTTCAAATCATTATCTATTGAGCGATATAAGAGTTATCATGGACTTTAACTACATGTCGATATAAAATAATAAGATAGTGCTTTGCAAAACTTCAGCATTTATAAAATTTGCATTGTTTTTTCGCTTCAGTGGCCTTGGATCAATATTTCAAATTCTTTATTATGGAAAACCTCTCGTGATGTTTGACTTTATGATTTGCGTGGTGATAGATCAATTTCATTGAGATATGTTTTGAACAACTTCTAAGGAAACAGAATTTCCATGCTTCTTTGCTGTCAAGGTAAGACCTTAAATTGTTTTTATTATTGACAGGTTAATAAAATCCAATCCACTTTAATTAAGATGAAAAGTAAAATCGGAGATGACTTCCATGAAAATATGCAAATTGTGACTAATTCTTGAAGGGACATTTTGCAGATTTGTTGAAAACCTATTCAACTTAAATCCGGATCCCGTAATCAAAGTTTGTTTAACCGCTTCTAACCATTTATAAATTACATTTTTAAAGGTATTGAAAAAGATGATTTACTGACTTTTGTATTGAATACAATTTTATTTAAGTAATAAAAAATAAAGAAAATGAATAAAAACATTGTCTTGAAGTATAAGTATTGAGTCGGGTCAACAAAGATGTTCTAAATATAGTACATGACTCTAAGAGCTAAACTCAGTACAGGACTGGAGCAGTACCTCTTGACGCTTGCACCAATCGTGATCACAAAAAATAAAAACAAATAGCGTTTTCTTCGCCGATTCTTACACTTTTCATTCATCATCATACATAATTCGGTATGACCTTTGGATGAAAGTCAAGATTTTAGCATTAATTTAATCATGCAAGCGACTTGTCCGGTATATACCGGAATACGGTATTTAGTGTGATGCTTCACAGTTAAATGGGCAAATTTAATGACGTATTAATATTTTGATACATTAAAATTAAATGGTAAAGATCGATATAAAATAGTTGTCTTATCGCAAAATGCACAGGAATTAATAGGGCATTTGCAAATAAAAATAAGGTTAAATCAACGCATGTTATTCTGGTTAAGTTTTGTAACTGGTCTCATATAAAACTTTAATACTGCATCAGATGAAAAACAAAACATATTAAAATTCGGCTTTTGAAGTTTAGAAACCAGAATCATTTTTTTGCAGAGCAAAAGATTGTATATCTTTTGAGATATTTAGCGTTGTCATAGTATTTTCGAAACATTGATTGTGCTACCTAAAATTACGTGGATGTCTACTCGAATCTAAATCATTTACATGAACATGCACTTGAACTGGCTGACAGAAGGTCCGTAGTTCCATCCGGATATCAGCTTTCTGCCTTAATACATTTTTCAAAACTAGGCAACGAAGGGCCTTGCATTACCCGGATATAACTCGTGCCTAAATTTAATTAACTATGCGACGGAAGGCTTATTTTTCCAGGATTTTTGCTCCATCCTTTAAACTTTTAATTAAATTTTCGAACCGAGGCGTGTTCTACTAGCGCATCAGTTTGTCTCTAAGTAATTCATTTCAGTTAGCTTACGGAAGGTCCATGGTTCTACTCGGATGTCCCCACGTACCTAAATATTTTTTCAGTGTGCAGAAGATATGTTTATTTACTCCGGCAATCCGCTCCTGCCAAAATCTTACACACGAGATACCCAGTTTATGTGTCTCTACATAGACAAAACAGGACATAAAACGTCGATGTTACTTGGAAAATAAAAAAC